AAATGGCAAACCGTACCTGACCAGCATTTGCACATGCCTTTATTAGTGCACCGATAGTTGTGTGATCAGGTTCTATAGGTTGTGTTTCCGCCATCATCTCTCCTAAGACATCAAAAGCACGATCAACTGCTCCTGATTGACCACATGCAGTAATAAGCGCATTGAATACAACTCGATCTGGCTTCACTTTCTACTGCATGTAACATCTTATCAGCATTGAAACTTATTCACTATCCAGGAAGAAACAAGAAACAACATCCTTTCTCAGAAACAAAGAACTTGATAGAGTAATAGTAACTGTGGATAGATATTGTAAAGTTTCTCATTCTAATAGTACCTTAGACCTCATTATCCCATAAGCACCAAAAGCCTTGGCCACTTCCCCAGCTCTGCCACAACCATCAATAAGTGCCCCATATGTGTGAACATTTGGTTCTACTCCAGCATTAACCATCTCATGAAAAACCTTTGCAGAAGAAAAAGATAAATGCAGTTGAAATACTATGGGAAACGCAGAGAAAAACGCAAATGCAGAGGTTATGTTTAAAAAAATATATCTAAAATTGAAGATAGCAATCTACCAACTGGGCACTCATTAGTTACAGGATTCATGAATGAAAAATGTAATGAAGAAATCAATACTCAGCTTCAATGAAATCAAGTTTAGAGCTTCAGTAATTACAAAAGGCTGGTACTCAAATTCTGTTTGAGATGTAGATGAGATTTAATTATATCGAATTTTCAGGGATTACAAACAGAATGTCAACCTGATGGTCAAAGTTTTGTTTAAAGGGATGAACATATCAGCTTCAATTCTTTCTACATATAAAGCAAGCCAAACAAGCAGAACTTGCCACCCTGGTAGCTACTGGGACTAAAATTGGTAATACAGTAAAACTTCATTTCAGAAATATTGGGCTAAAAACTCAGAGTATGCATGCCACTGAGAGCTGAAAGAAACCAAAATGAAAGATATCATACATCAAACATCGTGTAAACTTTTCCACTTTTACCGCATGTTGATATTAGAGTAGTATAAAGTTTGCAATCGGGCTTCATTCCAGCCTCCCGGACAAGTCGCAGAACATGGAAAGCTTCTAAAACCACAAAAAAGATATCAGGAACTTATCTTGCACCAAAAAATTAATAGCTGTGGTAAATTGTATAAATGAATTTACCCTCTGAATCTTGAGAACTTGCACAGACAGTCATAAGCATATTATATGTACTCAAGGTTGGATTTGGAATCAGTTTGATGAAACGGAAAGCTTTGTCAACAGCCTTTTGCGATTTGCAGATTTCAAAAAACCTTGCATGATAAACCTGATGCCAGAGAACTTAGTAAAATAGAGAAACCCAACATACAAGAACAAATCATTAACAGAAGGTTGCATCCTTACCTTATTCATATCCAACAAACCCCTTCTTTCCATATCTTCAAGCAATTTTAAAGAGTCGCCTAGCCTAAGAAGCCCATATTATTCAATGATCAGCTTCTAGAAAAGAAATTTGGAAAAGGGGAAAGACTGGTATGTGAGAATTCAAATCTATGGGTTTATATTAGTACTATTTAGAGTTAAATTGCATAGAACTGTAGAAAGAAAAAGAGGAAGTACACGGATTCACTTTGGTTAATTATATCTAGTCATTTCAAACCAGTGCAAACTCCTTTTCAAAAACCAAATCCATTTTGTTAAACTCCTAAATCCAAATGGACCCTAAAGGTATTTTATAACATATATGTGAAAGATAACATGTACCTCCCATCCTTTAGCAAACGATGGTAAGCACTTAATTGCTCTGATAGAAGATCTCTGTCATTTGTATGAATCCCATGTGGGTGGGGAAACTGGGTCATAGTCCCAGAATTCTTTTTAGGCAAATGTCTTACTTCTTTGTCGCTTGAATATCCACTGCCTTTTCCCAAGTCCTTTCTGCTGTGGGTATGGCCTTCTATAGACTCTGAACAAACACTCTTCTTCAGAAAATAGGCCAAAAGTACATTTATTTCACAAAATTACCATACAAGTATCAAAATATGGTCTTTCTTTCATGGCATTACCTGTAGTGTGATGGGAAGCTTGTGGTATTAAATCCGCCCCTGTCACAGTGATGTTCCTCAAAAAAGAAGATGGCTTTTTACCATTCAAGCTTGCTACAGATTTCGTCGCAGACTTGTTTGACTCATAAAACATGTGAAGCTCTTCTCTCACCGATTCTCTATTGAGTACATGAAAGCTAGTAGCTTCGCCGACTTCATCGCTTTCGCCAACTTCATCGCTTTCGCCAACTTCATCGTTTTCCTCATCATCTACAGGAACAGAAGGCGAAGCTACGCCAAAATTAGAATCACTCATTAATTTAGAGAATTCATCAGAAATTGGGTCACGACCACCATCCTCAGACCGTTCACCCATTAATTTAGAGAACTCTTCCGAAATTGGATCATAATCAACATCTTCAGACCGCTCTGGCTGCTGCAACTGAGTCAACTCAGTGGGAAAACGAAGCGGTTGAAGCACTGCGGTTGATTCAAACACTAAAGGCGCAAGAGACTCCTGCGCAGAATTGTGAAATTGCAGCACCGGTGTCTCTATTTCTTCAATCTTTCCGTTCAGAGCATCAAAACCAAGAATCTGATTTTCGCGGATTGGTAGCTGGCTACTGACCTCTTTGGCGTCTCTAACCTCTCTGAGCTCTCTAACTCTAGCATCGAGATTCTTCTTGGACTTGAATGGCCTATTGAAGTAGACGACGGAGACAGCAGAGAAGGTAACGACGGCGACGACGACGAGGAGCGAATGCGGGTCGAGAGAGGCCTTGATGAGAAACTTCGAGGAAGGAGAGCGACGGTCGCCGGCGAGGCTTCTGCGTTTTCTAAGAGAGCGAAGATCGCCGGAGAGCGGTCGGATACTATGGCCGCCGCAGCCGAGGAAGTGTCTGCGAATTGATGGGAGAGAGGAGAAGGAAGAAGAAGAAGATGAAGATAGAGGAGTGCATGAGATTAGTGTTAGCGTTTGAGGCTTCGCAGAGAAGCTCATCTCCTCGGGAGAGACGAAGAAGAGCAGAGGAGGAGGAAGCTCTGTGTGGCCTATCAGCTCTGTGAGGGAGTGACGAGAGTGAGAGTGAGAGAAGCTCTCATATCATGATTCATAACCAACTGCCTGGTCCTCTCTTTATTTAATCTGTTATTTTGCTCATCCATATGTTGCTGACGTGGCGCAATTCCTGGTTACAGTTCGGCTTTTATTATTTTATTATTTTATTTATATTTATTTTGTTTCGTTCGTTTGCTGGTTTGAATTTTTTCTGTTGGGGCCAATCGTATTTGCCGCGGATTTCTGTAATTCTTTTATTGGCCCAAGAAAAAGCCCAATCCAAAATCTCTTTAGCCTTTAAATGATGAAAAGAGCTATATAGACGACAAAAGGCCATGAAAACCTCATGTCTACACTTAGCTTCGTCCCTGCTCACGTATTGCAATCAAAACCCCTAAATTGTGAATCGCGGGGCACACATATTTGGTCAATCTTTGACTGTGGGTTCATAAGTAGGCTGGACATGTAAATTACAATATAGTTCATAAGTAACTAAGTATGTTTGCCTAGTTTGATGGAAGTTGGTCATGTAATGGAATTTACAATTGTAAGGAGAGGAAAATTGAGTATGGAACCCATAGAGAAAGTTGTTTATTGAAGACGGGGTTTGATATAGTTTTTGTAAACTTACAATTAGACTTGACTAATGTAAAACGAGACATGATTATTATTTACTACATTGCGATCCAAGCAAGTTAGAACATGTATGTTGAACGTACAAGTAAAAGATCGAATTTGGTAGCTAGTATGTAGTCCGTGCTAACTTAATTTATGTTTTTTTTTAACCTATTTACCTTATATGGAAATGTTATGATCATACTTCATCGTCCAATAAAACGTACGTACTTATAACTGGCATATTCAATATTCGTGTTGAGAATATATAATTGCTTTTTAGTAATGAATCTCACTTATCCATGCTCGATATTCGTGTTGAGAATATATAATTGTCTTTTAGTAATGAATCTCACTTATCCATGCACGTCGTTAATTAGGGTTTTTTAATATGGCTTTTATTTTATTTTATTTTTTATTTTATTTTTTCAATTGGATTAGGAGGTATGAAGCGGAAGAAATAGAAAGGAAAAAAAATTATATATTAATAACTATAAAAATATTAACTAAATCTGAAGAATAATGTCAAAATGAATATATAAAAAGGGAGTGTAAGTGGACGAAAGAGGAGTGAGAAAATCAGCACCCAAAAAAATTATTTATTAATCACTATACAAATTTCCTACCTTTCTTTTTCTTATATTAATTTTCACTTTTTGTTGTAAAGTATAATGGGAAGTGCATTTTTTGAGCAAATAAACATAGAGGAGAAATCATTCTCAACATCTCTTGTAAAGGTCATAACCTCTCAAATAATTCTCAATATAAAGAGAGGTGTTATATTAATTCTCACATAATTAAAGAGAGCTAGCTAGTATTTCAAAACAAGAAATGAAAAAAAAAAGTAAAAGAATAATATTGACATAAAAAAAGATTATTGGTCATAAATATCAATAAACTATATCATTAAATTAATATTTTGCACATTCTGCTGAGCATAGTAAGCATTTTCTCAATAAATTAATTTGCTAATCAAACAGGATGTGTCAATTAGTACATTACTTTCTCCCCAATATGTTCGAAAATAAAGAAAGTTAAAAGAATTTCAGAAATGAAAATTTTAAATGAAATTGATAAGTATCAAAATTTCATTTGTTATGAAGAGGAACGCCTCCTCAAATTTAAGGAGTCAAGCTTTTTATTATATAAAACTCTAAATCCAAACACATAAAATGTCATTAATTTGATTAGCCAAACGGCATAGTTGCTACAACCACAGGACCCTTGATGATTAAAACACAAATTAGCTAATGCTTATTAAAACCCTCATCACCATATATAAAAACTTCACAGAAAATCTCCACCAAGATTAGGGTTCCAGTCACTGAGAAACATAGGATCGCCATTGAACTCAACATTGTTAGGCTGGTCTGGAGGAGCCTGCATAACAGACTCAGCTCCATTGAAATTGAAGCCAAGATTGTTAGGTTGATCAGGTCCATTGAAATTGAAGCCAAGATTGTTAGGTTGATCAAGAGGAGCCTGCATAACAGGCTCAGCTCCATTGAAATTGAAACCAAGATTGTTAGGCTGATCAGGTCCATTGAAATTGAAACCAAGATTGTGCTGATAAGGTCCATTGAAATTGAAGCCAAGATAGTTAGGCTGATCAGGAGCAGCCTGCATAACAGGCTCAGCTCCATTAAAATTGAAGCCAAGATAGTTAGGCTGATCAGGAGGAGACTGCATAACAGGCTCAGCTCCATTGAAATTGAAGCCAAGAGTGTTAGGCTGATCAGGAGGAGACTGCATAACAGGCTCAGCTCCATTGAAATTGAAGCCAAGAGTGTTAGGCTGATCAGGAGCCTGCAAAACAGGCTCAGCTCCATTGAAATTGAACCCAAAATTGTTTGGCTGGTCAGGAGCCTGCATAACAAAATCATTTCCATTAAAATTGAACCCAACATTGTTAATCTCAGGATTAGCCAAACCTTGGAGGCCAGAAGGCCCAGCAGCAGCACTGGAAGAAGAGCTCCCCACAAAAAAATTATTGTGAGCAGGGTTTGCACTTTGGGCAGCAACACTAGAAGAGGAGCTCCCCACAAAAAAATTATTGTGAGAAGGGTTTGCACTTTGGGCAGCAGCACTAGAAGAGGAGCTTCCCACAAAAAAATTATTGTGAGCAGGGTTTGCACTTTGGGCAGCAGCACTAGAAGAGGAGCTCCCCGCATAAACATTAGGATTGTGAGGAGGGTTTGCAGTTTTGGCTGCAGCAAGTTTCTGTTTAGCCTGATCAGCCACTTTGGACCGCAACTGCATAAGAGAAGCCCTCAGAATCTCCATCCTGTCCAAGTCCAACTCCTCCACTGGTCCCTCCAACCCGCACTCTGCTTGGCTGGCCTTCAATAACTGGGTCAGCTCTTCCCCCCGCTTCCTTTCGCCCTCGATGCGCTCCATCACCTGTGTGAGCTCAGCGTTGAGCTCATTCGTAGTCGCGTGCGAGCACGCCTCAGCGATCTGCTGCATATCGTGATTAAGAGGCTGACGCGAGGTTCTGCCCTCGTACTTGTCCAGCACCTCCTCGATGGACGGGTGGCCAAAGCAAAAGGCCTTCTTGCCTGGCGAGAAGACAATGAGGCCGAGCTCTGTACCACACAGGGTACTAAGCTCGCTGGCCTTTTTGAAAAGGCCTGCCCTTCTCTTGGAGAATGTGACTTGGAGATTGGTCTCATTCTCCATTTTCACCATCTGCAATTTTTGGCGACCCCTGCATATCCTTGGCATGGCTAACTCTTGGTTTGTTGTGTATGTCCGGTGGGATTAAAGGGGGGTATTTATTGACGCTTGTGTACATAGCAATTTAGGGTTTGAAGGTTCTTCTGACCTAAATAATTATCAATCTTTGCTGTCATTCTTCTTTTCTAATTTGCATATGTAGTTACTGAGATACTAGTTTGGGAGAAATTTAAATCCCTTTGTTCTTAGCATACATGGTAGGCACTTCATGAATTTTTATACACCAAATACCATTCTAAACTACTACACTCATTTCTTACTCACCAGTCACAACACATGCATGCATGAGGAAAACTGCCAGACAATTGCTAGAGCTTACCTATAATCTTATCCTCCTCCTTACTTCATTCTTGGCTTTGTTCGGATTTGCCAAAGAAAGAAATTTTGATAAAACATGACAACGCAAATTAAATCTAGAAATTTAATGTTAAGCGAGGAGATAAGAGCATCTTCAAATTTTCATTTCATAAGGGACAAAACCAAGAATTTGCTGCTATACTATAGAAGGGAGGAAGATATTGATTTATTGTAATGCTATGTTTTAATCACATTTTCTCTTCACTTGAGTTAACACCCAGAGTGCCTATATAGTAATCCTATCCTCCTCCTGAATACGTCTTTGGTTGGAGTTGCCAAAGAAAGAAATTTATATTAAATATGACAACACAGATTAAATCTGGAAATTCAAAGTGTTAGGTGAGGAGATAACAAATAATTAATCATAATGGACTTGGCTATTTACTTAATTAAAGGTTAACTTAAGAACTTGTTTTGTTGAATATTTGTCCGACATCGGGAACTTAAAAAGATTTTACTTTGGTTTATAAGGAGCTGAGTTACTCTCCCCTCCTCACCCCAAAAAAGATTACCAATTGATTTTAGAGTGAAACATCAACTTCCTTCACGATATCATAGCTTAAACAAAAGACATTTTGAATTTAACAAATAATTTGAATTTGACTACCGAAGGTGAAAGATTTAATATCATTTTTTACTTTCCATAATGAAAATAACGAAAACTAAGTATGTGTATGGTAAACCCTAGGATCCAAAGACTATTAGAAAATAATTTGGTAACTTAATAATTATTTGCACAATATAAGTTAGAGCGTGTATGTTGAACATGCACGTAGAAGATCGACTTTGTAAGCTATTATGAAGTCAGCGCTGTTGTCATTCTCTACTTAATTATCTTTTATCATGTCTCTTATAAGGGAATCATATCATATCTCGTCGTGCAACTGACATATTTGATATAAGTATTGACTATCTATAATTTCCTTTTAATAAAATGCACGTATCATTTATCCATGCACGTCCGTTGTTAATTAGGGTTTTGTGAGCTCACTTAGTAGCGACTTTATTTTTTGTATTTTTTTTTCCATAATTTTTTTTTTCTTTCTTTCTATTGAGTGAGGATTTAGGGGAGGTGGAGCAGAAAAAGGAGAACAATCCACATATAAAGCAAAATGTAGCAAAATGCTTTTCTAGTAAATTTTGAAAAATAAAAATCCGAAATTGGCCCCATTTAAGAAAAAATTTCAGAACACAGCCACTCCATTTTGATGGGACAAATACGTCAAACAATAATCCTTAAAATGAAAATAAATTTTTTTTAAAGGGATATAAGAGTGCATGCCAAATAATTTCCAACGAGTTATAATTTTTAATTTATTTTTTTGGTTTACGAAAAATAATAAATAAACTACTTTTGAGTTCCACCCATGTATATGTTGTCTCTCATAATTGTTTCTTCCTAAAGTATGGTTAAGACTAATTTACCTCTGCACTTTTATGTTTGATTTCATCCTCTCAATATTACTTGTATTATTAAATACTAGTTTTTCGAAACAAATTTCTTACTTTTTTTTCTTTATTAGTTTTCACCGTTTGTTGTAAAGTGTAATGAGAAGTGTAGTTTTCAACTCTCAAATAAGTATATGCTTCTTTTCATTTTAAGGATTTAGCAATAGGCCTTGCGTACATAGTCATACTTTCATTACTAGAAAACTTCAATATAAGCCATTGATATACTCATGAGTTGTATTAATGTTAGTTACAGATTGGACACAGATTACATGACTGTGGTCAAAGTGGGTGTTGCCATTAAAATTCTGCCACGACAAAGAGTGTATATGGCCTATAAGTGACTAATTGTGACTTATATATTACAAGCCACTGATGCACAGTAACCGTGACCATTACACACTAAAGGCCACTATTGGTTCACTGTGGCTAAGCAAACCGCGGCCTTAGCCACTTTTTCCAGTAGTGTTAGTGCTAGTATTACTTTCACTAAATTTGCATCAAATAGAGAGCTAGCTAGCATTTGAGTACTCTACATAAAAGCAAAACTATATCATTATTGTACATTCTGATGAGCATTAATTTGCTAATTCAACAGTATGTGTCAATTAGTCCAAGGCCAACATACCCGATCGCTCTTTGAACCACGTTTCACATAACTAAAAACGAATGGTCAAAATGATATTAGATAAAAGGCATAATTTTTCAACCTGATCTTATATCGATATATACACCAAACACAATGCCAATATATCTAAATAAATAAAACACATAATTTTAAAAAAAAAATTTGATGATCCAAACGGCTTAGTTGATACAACGATAGTACTCTTATTAAGAAACAACTTCTGATAGTTCATGGCAATCTGAAATTTCAAAAAAAAAAACACAAGGACACAACAGAACACCACAAAGACAAACTTAATACTGCAGAGCGCAGATCACAACACTAGATCGATCACTCTGTTTTCTCTGTGGCTGCCAGTGCTGGCTTATTAATTAAATAAAAATCATCACCACCCCCATCACAAATTTTTCAGAGAAAGCCCCCTCCCAGGTTAGGGTTCCATCCACTGAGAGGCATGGCATTAGGATTGCCATTGAACCCAACATTGTTAGGCTGATGAGGAGCCTGCATCACATGATCATTTCCATTAAAATTAAACAAAACATTGTTAATATCAGGATTAACCAAACCTTGGAGGCCAGAGGGCCCAGCAGCAGCACAGGAAGAAGAGCTCCCCACAAAAAAATTATTGTGAACAGGGCTTGCATTTTGGGCAGCAGCACTAGAAGAGGAGCTCCCCACAAGAAAATTAGGGTTGTGTGCAAGGTTTGCACTTTCGGCAGCAGAAAGTCTCAGTTTAGCCTCATCAGCCACTTTGGACTTCAACTCCAGAAGAGAAGCCTTCAAAGCCTCCAGCTGATCCAATTCCATCTCCTCCACTGGTCCCTGCCACCACTTCCCCTCTTTGTTGGTCTTCATGGACTGGGTCAGCACATCCCCCCATTTTCTTTCTTCCTCGAGGACCTCTAGCACCCGTGTGAGCTCATCAGTGATCTCACACAGGCCTGCAGTCCGGTACCCGTCAATAAGCTTTTGCGTTTCGGAATTCAAGATCTGACGCGGGACTGTGCCCTCGAACCTGTCCAACAATGTCTCAATGCCTGGGTGGCCAAAGCAAAAGACCTTCTTGCCCGGCGAGAAGACAATGATTGCGATCTCTGCACCACACAAGGTGCAGAGCTCGCTGGCCTTTTTGAAAAGGCCTGACCTTCTCTTGGAGAAGGTGACTTGGAGATGGCTGTCATTCTCCATTTTCACCATATCAACCTTTTGGCGACCCCTAGTCTTCTTCACCATGGCTAACACCAAATGGTTTGTTGTGTGTGTTAGGTGGGATTACAGGGGGTATTTAATTGAGGTTCGTGTACTTAGCATTTTAGGGTTTAGAGGTTTTCCTGAGCTAGATATCTCTTTGTTGTCATTGTTTTTACTTCATTTGTATGTTGTCACTAAGATACTAAATCTGAACCTTTTTTTCTTCTTAATTAGCATACATGGTAGGCATTTCATGAATTTTTATACACTGAATACCATTCTAAACCAGTTGCACTCATTTCTTACTCCCCAGGCACACACATGCATGCATTAGGAAAAAGTGACAGACAATTTGGTATTATATCCTTGGCTGGGATAAATATGCCTTTGTTGGAGTTCCCAAATAAAGAAATTTTGATAAAACATGACAAAAAAGAGATTAAATCTGGAAATTCAAAGCGTTAGGTAAGGAGAACAAATTGTTAATCTCACATATAATAGACTTGTCAAAAGGCTATTTAACTAATTAAAGGGTATGAATACAATTGGAAACCTTTTTTTCTTTTGCAGCACCGCCTTGATAAACCTTCCGATAGCATTTTACTGAGTACCTGAATAGTGGATTGCAAACATGAGTTAAACCAATTAGTTAGGACAGTGAATCCGTCTCCTTGCACTCAAATTCAAATCTCTATTTTTTACAATTTAGAGCAGTTTAAATTAAAGATATGAATTGTGGACTTAATTCAAAGATATGTATGGTCCATGACCAATAGCCCAACCATCTACTGTGTGTAGGCCTGTGATTTGATTAAAATCTTGGGCCAATTTTGTACAGAAACCCCATAAAAAAATTTCAAATCCAAAATTCAAATGAACATTTGTCCCGTTGGCAAGCGAAGTAGCGTTTTGGCTTGTATAGCGCCTTTTCGTGCGACGTGTTCGAAGGTTGAAACCAAACCCAAACATGCATATACATATTAAGAGACGGTTTTCCGCTGTACTCTATTTCTACTTTCGGGATTTTCTTTCCCCTTCAGTCTCTCTTCAGGTAAATTCCCAGGTCTTCTTCTTGTTTTCAATTTGGTTCTTCTTTTTTTTTTACCAATTTATTTCTGAACTCACCTTGAACTTTTTTATCTTCATGGTTTTCAGGTTATTTGAAGTTCTGGGTTAATCAAAATAATGCTGGGATCTTTTCTTCCAAGGGTTCTTCTGTACGTAATCAAATGAACCCCAATTGGATTTTTGACCTAACCCAACCCAAGTGGTATTAGTTTTCATGAAAGTTATTGTTTGGGTAATTAATTTTTTATTTACTGCAGGATGGTGTTTGGTTACGCTTATCCGGCTTATGAGTGCTATAAGACTGTGGAGAAGAACAAGCCAGAGATTGAGCAACTTCTGTTTTGGTGCCAATACTGGTATATATACATATATGATATATCTATGATGTTATTATAATTATGATTTTTTTAACTTTAGTTTCCAATTAAAATATTGAATTACTTTTGATGTGGGTTTTGTAGGATATTAGTTGCTATGCTTACTGTGTTGGAGAGATTTGGGGATGCTTTATTTTCATGGTAAACAATTTGCTTCTCCAACATTTTATTGAAGCCTTTTTGTTACAACGTATCATATTTGCAAATCAAGGAGATGTGACTCGTTTGTATGGAAGAATCTCATGTGAAGTGTGAGTTAGCAAATGTAGTAAGTAAATGTGATATGTGTTAGTTTCACATAACTTATGTTTTGGAAGACGGAAGTTAGGAAGAATGATAACTTTATTTCCATTATTCACTTATTCTCTGATGGCTTAAACTTTTGTCGATTACTGATTATCTAATATCACGTGGTAGAGCGTTACATATTTGTCTCATATGGTTTTTAATGTCACTTATTGTTCCCTTGTGTTTTTTTAAGGGTACCAATATACAATGAAGCCAAATTGGCGTTGTTTATATATCTCTGGTCTTCTAAGGAGAAAGTAAGCACTCATCATCATCCTATATTCAAAGAATCGTGTTTTTATTAATTCTGTCCTTAATAATAGTGGTACTCATGAATGTCTTAATTAACTTTTCAGGGCACGGCCTATCTTTATAATCGCTTCTTCCGAGACTTTGTGGCACAACATGAGGCAGAAATTGATAGTAAGATATTGGAATTCAGAGTTAAGACTAGGGATTTTGCAAACCTATCTTGTCAAAAGGCTCTGAATTATGGCCAAAAAGGTGTTTATGAGATTTTGGAGTATGTTTCTTCTCATCAGTCTGCGCCACTGCCTCATTATGATCAGGTACATTCTTGCCACAGTTATATTGTAAGATAAGTGACACTGATACACTCGTAGCCTGTACTAATGTAAGTCACAGCCAACTCGTAGCCAAAAAGTGTTGTATATAACCCAATTAGACATGTTATTATCTTGCTAAATTAAGTTTAAGCCGCACATTCAAACAATAATCAACGTAAATAGTTGAAATAACATAGTACAAAATCTCTCTATATTTAAATAAATTAAGCAGCCCCCGGTGGTTTCTGTGCAGAAGCAAGAGAAGGGCACTGAAAAAGTAATTGCTGCTGGTCGGTCTGAAGCTGAAGCAAGGGACCAAAGAACAACAAGCGACTTTGAAGAGAAACCAACTGAATCAGTATCATTGTCTGAAAATGGAATCCCAATTCTTCCCAGCAGAAAACACTGGTTAAAGAAGCTCATCAGATGATGCGTCGCATACTGCACCAAATTATATTAATGTGGTTTACCAATTTTCAGCATTTACAAAATACAATTTTATGTCTTGTTGTTAGTCTTAATTACTTCCTCTGTACCTCACGAAAACTAATCAAGACGTACCATACCCATTCTACGTACCACAGGTAACATTGACCCTATTTTTTGGATTTCAAAATCGAAACCCCTTCTAGTCATACAAAAGGAGTGTTGGGTTACGTAAGAGTTGAACTACCTAAATATCTAAATGATATAATAAATTCCTTCAAAGAAACATACCCAACAACATTACTAATAAAGCTCACTAACTCTTTAGTCACCAGCCTAAGAAATTACTAGGGTCAGTCACTTGCATATATGAAAATGACGTATGATATCAATTTTTAATTATTATAACTCGATACATTACACGTTTATGGGTGAAATGACACTTGTCACGCGTTTGACGCATACTTATAAAGTTAACCACACGTTCGAGGAACGTATTGTTCTTTCAATCCAATATTTCCACAATTGCTGCTATCATCTTAACTTGTTCAACCCAATATTCCATGTGACCAAAAAAACAGTGAGTGCAGTTCTTCCTTGATTCTTCATTCAGTTTCTTCTTCGTTTATTCTTCATACTATATTATCTTACATATAGGGTAGACATCCAACAACAATATATATATATTTTTTTTTGTTGGTGAATTAAACAGAAAATTGTATACAGTGAATATGAATTGTGAAGCATAAGAACCATAAGCCAGACTTTTTTCATTCACATCAAGATAAAAGTTTTCTCTGTCTGTAGATTACTACACTTTAAACTTCCTTGCCTAACTTCTATGGTTTTTACTGCCCTTTTATATTTAACTTGCATTTTAGGTATTAATATGGAGTTTTAATTACAATTATGGCAGTTAATGAAATGCTTGGAATACATTATAAATAAAATATGAAGCTTGATGACAACCAAGGATTGAAATATCGGCCGATACACCGATATATCGGCCGATATATCGACATTTTGAACTGTCGACATCGATATTGGGGGGTAAGGTTATATCTTCCCCTATATCGACGATATATCCCCGATAAGTGCGATATTCCCGATATTTTGCCGATATCTACCGATATTTCCCGATACCCATAACAAAACCCAAAAAAATTAAAAAGTTTTGAAGCAAATTGAAACTGAAAATATTTTTTAGAGGTATATGTGCAGTGATTAGATATGTGTGAATGCTTTTGGCAATATTCAATGCAAAAGATGTTTTGGAGTATGCGTCAAAAGAATCTATGCATAGTCAATTGAAGGGACATACATGTCCTATCTCAAGCTTATTTGCCACTAACTTGGCTTCCCATCTTTTGGTCTAACGTGTATTGATCACAACCACTATATTTGTAAATTTGTAGATTATATGATAGACAAAATATTAGTATAATAATAATTAATAATGTAAAGAATGTGAGTGACTGTTTTTTGAGCCATGAAAAGAAGAACTTGGAAGAAGAATTGATTCTTTACTTCGTGCTTGGAATACTGTTTTGAGCTTTGGGGTTCTCTTTTTTGGCTTATTGTTCCGCCTTTAACCTACTAGTTGGGTTAATCCTAACTATCCCATATATGGGATGACAGTAGGGAGCTCAAGAGAGACATATGTGCACCATGTTCAAATATGGCTTACAAACTACTCGGGTTACATGACTTGGTATGATTATTGTATGAATCTAGATGGTTGTTCCTCATTGTTTGAACCTCATAGGAGCTCTTCATTTATGTAGTTGGACACTCATCTAAATTGTAATACAATGTTTAAATAAACTATGGATTTATGCATGGTTTATTCATTCTAATCAACTTTTTATTTTCAAACTTTTCATTAACGCGCATTACATACCACTTATACTTCATCATATATATATATATATCTTATTATTAGTAAATTTTGAGTTTTATTTGTTCAATACATTCATTGACAATGTATATAACATCTATGAAAGTTTTACACCAAAATGATGTGTTTCAATGCCTATATCTGTTATTTTTGTTGATTTCTTCCCGATACCTAAAATGATAACGATATATCCCCCGAAATATCCGTAAATTGGAGGCCCGATATTATCTGCACGGCCGATATTTTAATCCTTGATGACAACGATGTAAAAACATAAGAATATTATGACCTCTTATATCTTATTGGTCATCTAAGTTTAAAATTGGGTTTTACATATAGATTTATAGAATGATGGGTATATGTCTAAGAAATAAAAATTGTAGGGACCTATATTAGACAAACCCTATATTTTATTAAGAAACCACAAAAGGACACAACAATACAACAAAAAGTAAAATCCAACCAAGCTCAGCGACAAGGATATAATTTTTTAGAGGAAAATGTTGAGAACACTGACTTATATCATGATTTGATTGTTCTTTGGGCTACAAATCAATTCTTTTATGTGGAAAATTCTTTTGACTTTGTCATTCAAATTGTACAAATATGGTTGTGTGGTTTTAAAAGGCAACGTGACGTGTGGGATGGGCTGCCAATTTTGAAACTTATTAGCTTCTTTGAGAAGCCGATGCAGCATTTATGCGTGTGGGGAACACTCGGTGGATTGATCCATCAAAGAAGATAAAATAATGGTGTCATTCGGACAGACTTGGGCAATTGATCCGGCAACAAGTCTTTTAGTCATTTGTCAAGTTGGTCCCTTCAACCTCATTTGTTACAGAAGTAGATTGTCTTGGCATGAATTTTTCTCAGAAATTGTCTTGGCTTGAATTGGCTTAAGTTGAATAACACTTAACCGATGTTTGGTGATGCTTAGATTGGGACTAAATTTAAATTGATTAAAATATCAATAAATCGGATGATATATTTCAACTTCTATTCTTCTGTACAAACGTGGGTTAAAAATATTCCAAAGTTTTATTTAATAAGGTTTATTTTTTAGGTTTATACAGGTTTTAAATTTGAGAGCATTTGTATCTATTTAAGTGAGTTTTTTGCTATATTTGAAATATTTTACAAAAACTGACATTTTTTAAATTAAGTATCAAGTTTTGGCTATTTTGAATAAATTCTCAAGTTAATTATCTAATCCAATTTTGCACAGAAACCCCCAAAAAAAAAAAATTCAAATCCAAAAATTCAAATAAATATTTTTCCCGTTGGAAAGCGAAGTAGCGTTTTGGCTTGTATAGCGCCTTTTCGTGCGACGTGTTTGAAGGTCGAAACCAAACCCAGACATGCATATATATATATATATATATATATATATATATACACATATATATATACATACATATTATGAGACGGTTTTCCGCTGTACTCTATTTCTACTTTCGGGATTTTCTTTTCCCTTCAATCTCTCTGGTAAATTCCCAGGTCTTCTTCTTGTTTTCAATTTGGTTCTCCTTTTTTTTTACCAATTTATTTCTGAACTCACCTTGAACTTGTTTATCTTCATGTTTTCAGGTTATTTGAAGTTCTGGGTTAATCAAAATAATGCTGGGATCTTTTCTTCCAAGGGTTCTTCTGTACGTAATCAAATGAACCCCAATTGGGTTTTTGACCTAACCCAACCCAAGTGGTGTTAGTTTTCATGAAAGTTATTGTTTGGGTAATTAAATTTTTTATTTACTGCAGGATGGTGTTTGGTTACGCTTATCAGGCTTATGAGTGCTATAAGACTCTGAAGCATAGGCCCGAGATTGGGCGACTTCTGTTTTGGTGCCGATACTGGTATATACATATATGATATATCTATCATGTTTAATTATGATTCTTTTAACTTTAATTTGTAATTAAAATTAATTAATGGTTCACTTTTGATGTGGGTTTCGTAGGATAGTAGTTGCTATGCTCACTGTGTTGGAGAGATTTGGGGATGCTTTATTTTCATGGTAAACAATTTGCTTCCATAACATTTTATTGAAGCCTTTTTTGTTAGAATGTATCATATTTGCAAATCAAGGAGATGCGACTCGTTTGTATGGGAGAATCCCATGCGAAGTGTGAGTTAGCAAATGTAGTAAGCTTCCCTATCGAAATCTTAACCCCTCATTCTGTAGAAGTTTTCACACTTATGTCATGGAAGACGGGAGTTAGGAAATAATGTTAACTTTATTTCCATTGACTTATTCTCTGATAGCTTAAACTTTTGTCGATTAGTGATTATCTAATATCACGTGGCAGAGCGTTACAAATTTGTGTCATATGATTTTTTAATGTCACTTATTGTTCCCTTGTGTTTTTTTTTTTTTTTTTTTTTTGAAGGGTACCAATATACAATGAAGCCAAATTGGCATTGTTTATATATCTCTGGTATTGGAGAGAGGAAGTAAGCACTCATCATCATCCTATACTTGTAGAATCTTGTTTTTATTCTGTCCTTAATAATAGTGAATACCCATGAATGTCTTAATTAACTTTGCAGCGCACGGACCATCTTTATAATCACTTCCGAGAATTTGTGGTACCACGTGAGGCAAAAATGGATAGAATCAGAGATAAGGCTAGGAATTTAGCAAACCAGTCTTGTCAAGAGGCTCTGACTTGTGGCCGAAAGGGTGTTTATGCGATTTTGAATTATGTTTCTTCTCATCAATCGGCGCCACAGCCTCATTCTGATTAGGTACATTCTTGCCACAGTTATATTGTAAGATAAGTGACACTGATACACTCGTAGCCTGTGCTAATGTAAGTCACAGCCAACTCGTGGCCAAAAAGTGTTATATATAACCCAATTAGACATGTTATTATCTTGCTAAATTAAGTTTAAGCCGCACATTAAAACAATAATCAATCTGATCAATAGTTGAGATAACATAGTACGAAATCTCTCTATATTTAAACAAATTAAGCAGCCCCTGTGGTTTCTGTGCAGAAGCAAGAGAAGGGCACTGGAAAAGTTGCTGCTGGTCATTCTGAAGGTGAAGCAAGGGACCAAAGACCAACTGAATCAGTATCGTTGTCTGAAAATGGAATCCCAATTCTTCCCAGCAGAAAACACTGGTTAAAGAAGCTCATCAGATGATGCGTCGCATACTGCACCAAATTATATTAATGTGGTTTACCAATTTTCAGCATTTACAAAATACAATTTTATGTCTTGTTGTTAGTCTTAATTACTTCCTCTGTACCTCATGAAAACTAATCAAGACGTACCATACCCATTCTACGTACCACAGGTAACATTGACCCTTTTTTTTGGATTTCAAAACCGAAACCCCTTCTAGTCATACAAAAGGAGTGTTGGGTTACGTAAGAGTTGAACTACCTAAATATCTAAATCATATAATAAATTCCTTCAAAGAAACATACCCAACAACATTACTAATAAAGCTCACTAACTCTTTAGTCACCGGCCTAAGAAATTACTAGGGTCAGTCACTTCATATATGAAAATGACGTATGATATCAATTTTTAATTATTATGACGCGATACATTACGCGTTTATGAGTGAAATGACACATATCACGCATTTGACGAGCACTTATAAAGTTAACCACATGTTGGAGGAACGTATTGTTCTTTCAATCCAATATTTCCACAATTGCTGCTGTCATCTTAACTTGTTCAATCCAATATTCCCTGCGACCAAAAAAACCCAATTTTATTGACCAAAAAGGGTTTTCCAATATCCCCGCCAACATAGAACGGCACGTCGTTTGTCTCTGTTAAAATACCTCATACGACAGTATCGCAACAACCTCATGAATTCGACAATTCAATGACTTCACCTCGTTTGCAGCAATGAGCTAGCCGCTGGACTCGTCCGTAGCCTATCCAGTTACACCACGTGGCAAATATACGTACAGGACACGTATCTAATCAAATTAGCTGGTAGGCTCACGTGTCGCACGGATACGGGCCGACCAAAGTAAGCGAAAGAGCGAAAGAGCGAAAATCTCACTCCTAAGGGGCCCACCTTGTCCGTCAGCCCTTTGTTGGTTTTTTGGTTGAGTCTCCCTAACCGCCCCACGTGTCCAAGCCACAGTTATCTACATTTGTGACCACAAACCACCCTATCCATCTTTCTTTTAGGTCCTTTGTTTGCTTCTGTTTCATAAATTCATACTTACTTTGGTTGCTTTTTTTGTCAGCAAAGAATAGTGAAATGCACCGCCCAAAAAAAAAGAAAAGAATTTGGATAGAAAGTGGAAAACGTGGGAGAGAGTAAACAGCGGGGGAATAGTATTTTGTGCCGACAGACGTTTGGAGATGAATATGCTTTGTTAATCGTACTGTGATCATTCCTTTGAAAGTATTTTTTATATTATAAGAAGTTGTTGGCGTAGTGGCTCGATACAAGGCATATGATGTGCAAGTTCTACATCGGATAATATAATAATAATTTATAGTTTAAATATAAATAGTTTATTTCTAATTATAACGACACATTTTAAGTTCAAACCTCACACCTAGAGCTCGATTGAGCCTAAACCTACCAAAGATTAAAACCTCACTCCTAATTACAATAGACTGATCATATTTCTAAAAATGTTAAGTTGTATTATACATTATACACGGAGTATGATAGAACATTTATCTTCCTAGCTTAATTTTTGTGCCGGACTAATCCATGTCTCAGTATCACTTGTATTTTTTTGTGCCGGGCTGAAATTACTCTATTCTTTTTTTTTGTTTTTAGCTCCTTGAATTAGCTAAGGAAAAAGAGATAAGCTCTTACATCATGTGTTTTGACTTCTTTCAAGGCAAAAAGTAAACAAAACTAGTTTTCTTAAGTTTTGGTCGGAAAAGTAAAAGATTAACTAGCTATAAAATTTTATTATCCTTCCTCTCATTTTTTAGGAAAGACCCACAAGAAGGAAAATAAATAAATAAATTTGCGTCTTGAAAACGAAAGCTAGACCAAACAAACATGCCTAATAACTAGCTTTTAAGCTAAAACCCCCGTACAATTTCCACAACAAACACACACACACACACACACACTCTCTCTCTCTCTCTCTCTCTCTCTCTCTCTCTCATATTTAAGCCTCTGCCTGCAGAGCCAGAAAGAAATAAAAAAGAGAGAGAGAGGCTAAAGCAGAAAGAAAGAAGCTGCTGTTTGTTTTCCCACTTTTTAGCTCGTGTGACTCACGAGACTCACAAAAAGAAGAGCAGAGGCAAAGAAAGAGGGGAAGGGGGAAGGAGGAAGGGGGAGAAGAAGAAGGGTCACAAGAAAGAAAGAGAAGGCAATAAATAAAAAGGAAGAAATAATGGAGGAGAGCCCAAGGAAGAAAAGTGGAGGGGGACAGGTGCTGGACGGTTCGAATATAATGGAGTTGGTTGGGAACAAGGAGGTGTTCAGTAGTTTTGTGGAGCATAAGTTTAAGGAGCTGGATAGAGACAGAGATGGTGAGCTCTCTGTGAAGGAGCTTCAGCCTGCTGTTGCTGATATTGGCGCTGCTCTTGGCTTGCCTGCGCAGGGCTCTTCCCCTGACTCTGATCACATCTATTCTGAGGTACCCCCAACTTCAATTTCTTCTTCTTTTTTCACCTTATTTGGTATTTACTTTCGCTACCCTTTTCATTGTTGTGCTTTTATTTTCTTCTTATTATTTACACATGTACATTCTTTATTAGAAAAATTAACTGACACGTGTCTTATACTTAAATTGTCAATTTTGTGATAAGAAATGTTTGATATTGGAATACAATTTAAATTCACAGTTTGACAACGTAACATAATTAATAACGAGAGAAGAAGAGTTACCAATTGTAATTGTTTTAGTATTTTCTTTGGTTTTGTGTTGAATGGTTAGGATATATAATTATTTAGGCAATGAACACAATGATTTTCTTTTTTGGCTGAAAGAATTAATTTGTTGTTGTGGTTAATCACTGATACATCCAAAACCCTCAGGTTAATAATGCAAACTTAACAACAGATAATATCAAATGCTGCAAATTTACATCGGATATGCATAAGATAAAAATGCTACGTCTGATTTTGACTTTGGAGCTTTTGATTGCGTTTTTTTTGTAGTACTCTAAATTCCACCCTTTCATCATGTAATCAAATTTGTTGTGTCATTCTTGTGCTTTCAGTTCTTTTATTATTTCAGGCCACCTCCTTTGTAATAAATGGTTCTGTTAATTTTTTTTAGTACAAGCGATAGGCGATAGTCTATATTACAGAGAGGGTTGTTTCTCACACACATGCAAACAACTAAGATGTCATGGGGGTTCGAACCTGAGACCAAAATTAAGGCCCTTTTTCATTGGAGGCTAGACCCGGTTGGCTTGTTTTTTTAATGTTGAAAAAGGGAGATTGTTGTGGCTTTGCTTTGTTTCGTCTATCTGTATTATTGAGAATTTCTATTTCTAGCTCGCTTCAGAAGCATCCAACCCATGACCACACTTTGTCGTTCTTATTTTGTGACTTTGCTTTTCATTTGGACCTACTTCTCTCATTTTTTATTTATTTTTCGGTATGAAAAAGAACCCTTTTCTTTTTATCTTCTTATGCTAAGAGGAATCTGGTGACGAACTCTGTCGACACTTTTATATTATTCAAGAAGATTTAGTGTGACGAAAGCCATAATATGCCATAATATTCTATGATGGGACTGGTGCCTGCCCAGTTTTCAAAAGGCAGTGGTTTTGTGGGGGAGGGGAGAGAAGTCAAAAAACTTTCTTTAAGGGACTTGCTTCTGAACAAAGTAACAACCTTACCTAATCAGCTTTAATAATGTGGCTATAATTTATCTTAGCAAAAGTACATGATATGTTAGTAAATTAATGTCACATGCTCACTTTTAACCGCATGATAATTGAGGAAATAGAATAATTGTAAAGTCAACATAGATGATGTTATATAGTGAAGAAGTTTTTCAACGGAGGAGATCTGATTGCAACTTAAGGTACGTCTGAGATTGGCCTGACTGATTTACTGTGTCAATGAAGCTGCGATGCGGCAGAAATATTTTAAGTATCTGATATGCAATGTTGGCATATACTGGCTTTAGTCCGAATGGGACAGCACCGACCACCTGCGGTAAGAACCCGATTAGCGGAGAATCCATATTAGCAAATATAGTAGATTGTGTAAACATGAGCTGAAACAGGAAAGCTAGTTAACTAGATCTCTTTTGATGGTAACTGTTATGTGCCAATTTGTTTAGAGGAACTAAAGTCATTTTATCCACGGATTAATTCCTTTGTTTATGTGCGTAAACTTTGCACTGGAAAAAAAAAAAAAAAAAAAAGCTTATGATTTGATGTGCTTAGGTGTTGAATGAGTTCACTCATGGAAAACAACAAAAAGTGAGCAAGACTGAGTTCAAAGAGGTTCTTTCAGATATTCTGTTAGGCATGGCTGCTGGTTTGAAGCGAGACCCTATTGTGATCCTCCGTATTGATGGAGAAGATCTCGAAGAATTCATCAATGGGCCAACTTTTGAACCTGAGATGGTAGCCTCGTATTCTAAGATAAACTCAGCTGATGGAAGTGGAAGCCTCCGTGACTATATAGCCCAGGCTTTGGCAAAACTCACCGTTGAGCAAGGGATGCCCCCTTCATCAGATCCTTGGGTAGTTGATCTTCTCCAATTTAACTTGTTTCAGTACTAACAATTCTATAATTTGATCTTGGGAATGAAAATTATGTTAATGTAACATGCTGCAATTTAGATAAGTAGCCAAAGCATCGGCAACATTATATCATCCTTCAAATTTATATGTCCTCACCACATTATTGTAGGTTGTAGAACCTAGAAAAGTTGCATTGGAATCTTCATTCTTGACTACTTTTTCTTTCTTTTCCCTTTTGCTGGTTATTTTTGTTCTTTAGGTTATTAGCAATATCGTGGAACCTGCTCTGCAATCATGCACTGGCCATGATTTGGACAAGCCTGTATCTCAAGAAACTTTCATAGAGGAGTTTAAGAAAGTAGCAGAAACCGTGGCTCAACGCCTTAAGGAGCAGCATGTGATTGTAGCCCACAGTGAAAATGACTTTGATGGAAGTGGCATTAAGAGACTGTTGTCCAACAAGTTTGAATTAGACAAGGTCTGACTCATAAAGATGTCTTCTCATATTTTTTCACTGACCAGTTGCATATTTAAATCTTGTTGGAATGCGTTACGTATTGAAATCGCTTATTTCAATCTATCGTAAAATGCAGACACTGAATGCAGCTATTGAAAATGTGTCAAAAGATCGCAGTGGGAAAC